GCTGGCCTAACTTGGATGTTAGTGGGAATCTGTGGAGCACCAAAAACCAAGAGTCCTTCCTGGGTATGAGAAAAGCTGCTAGGAGTTCACTTTAGCTTAGGTCTCCAACCAAAGCTGAAAGCTGTGTGAGACCTTGACCTCAGCCAACAGCAAACACTGTACCTCCTTACTCTTATTACCTGGAAAATCTTCTTGGCATGATAGTCATCGACTTCAATGTTCACTTCTTTCAGGAAGTTCTTGAGCTCTTTCAAGCTCATCTTGTTGTCTTTGTTTTTATCAGCTTTCCGCAGGCAGGTATGAATCCAGCTGCAGAATGATGTAAGGAAAACCTTCCAGGTCAATGCCTACTCTAAATACCACCCTTCTGCTGCCCATGGTGTGGGGGGGAAGAGGATAAAGACTCTGAACCAACTCTCCAGCTGCTGCAAATCAACATGTTACCACTGACCAGCTTCCATCGTGGCACCTTCTGCTCTGAAAGAGCAAAATGATGCTTTGGCAGAAGCAAAATGTTGTCACGCAAGTGACAGTGACCCAGGAGAAGCTTTTCACCATCTGGCCAAGGCTGGATCCACTCTCTCTACCCTGCAGGAGCTTCTGGCCACAGCTACATCATAAAACAGCCTAATTACTCTTTTATGATGGAAAGTATATTCTGCTCCAGACTGTTAAAAAGGGGACAGAGGAGGAATGAAAAGTGGGGTAGAGGAGCTCCCAAGTGGATAGACTGATTGCTAGAGATTTGATCAATATTCAGTACATCAAGGTGAACACTCAACAGGGATTCTCAAAAAAGAAACACCCCCACCCCAAAAAAAAAAAAAAAAAGCAATACTGTTATTTTTTTTAGCCACCTTCTGTATTTATTTATGGATTTCAACCTATATGTCTTGAGAATGTCATTGTGAGCAGAATCAAATTAAACTCTGTGGGTCTTGGCTTCCCATGGTAAAATGCTCAGGATCTCTACCATACTATTATAATAGCTCCTAAGAGCTTGGTTTAGAATAACTTTAGTATGTCGATGGTTCTGGAGTAATTACTATAAAAAATGAGCTTTTCAATGTGATGTCAGTTAATTTAAATTTGGTCTCCCATGCTCTTGTAATCTCTTGGGAAAATGTTAAGACAGTGGAGATACCTTGCAGTTCCAAACACACAAACAAAAACACAAGATCCTTTTTGCATCAAGGGGACCGTTTCTCTCTAATTTTCTTTAGTGTCAAACAAAGATCCAGAAGAATCTCCTATTTTTCAACAGGAAAACAACTGAAATAGCAATTTGATCTCCAAGAATATAACCCTCAATGTCTTTCACAGGAAGCATTGCTTCCAACAAAAAAAACCCAACATGTTAACAATGTCTAATCTGGTTGTTAAGCAGAGTAAACCCCAGGATTAGCAAATACCAGCTGAGGTAAATAGTTTCATAACATTTTAACTGGGCCTTTCAAAATAATCCCAAAAAAGGACATTAACTGACAGCCTTAGGGGCTGACACAGAGTATTCACCAGAGCTACCACTGCATTCAAATATTTCTGAACTATGTGTAAACTGTTTGTAAGTATTGTTTGTCTCATGGAAAGCTGAGCTTTCTGTTTTTAAAAAAAAATCTTGGCAGGTGCTAAGCAATGACCTCACACTGCATCCATCTTAGCCTGGTAATATTAATATTCCCCTTCTTTGGACATGGAAACCAAAATAAAGAGAGGCTACATTTCCCTCAGCTCCCAAGGACACTCCAGGGCCCTGAACCACGGTCTGGCTTGGACTGATTCTTCCCAGAAAAACAAATTTGAGTCATGAAGCTCCCATGCACAGAGGATGCTCTGCTGGGAGGACATCACCACCTTCCCCAGGGTGGAAAACACCCCCCCTCCACCAGCTGTGCTCCAAGGGGCATCTGCTCAGCATGTCAACATGGTGCCAACAGCAGTGTCACCTGTTCAGAGCTGACCCCTGCACCTTGGCTCTCCTTCACAGCCTTCCCTAAAAATAACAGGCAGGAGTAAAGCGAGTGAGCAACGAGGAAACCCAGCCTGTCACAGCTAGAGGTGAGCAGAAGGTTGGGGAACACTAACTGTGTGTAGAAACTACTCTTTTTGCTCCAACCATGGCAAAAAAAAAAAATATAAAAAGATCCATCTTATTTTTTAAAGTCTACGGTCATTTCCACTGATCATGGGCAGCCAAAGGTCATGCACATATCTTCATCAAGCACTGGAACAGGCTGCCCAGGGAGGTGGTTAAATCACCATCCCTGAAGGTGTTTAAAAGGCATGTAGATGTGGTGCTGAGGGACATGGTTAGCACTGGACTCAACAGAGTCAGGCTAATGGTTGGACTTAATGATCTTAAAGGTCTTTTCCAACCAGAATGATTCTATGAGAGCTGACTCTGGAAGGCAATATGTGTGTAGTAAATGCACCTGCAAAAGAGTATGCCCAGGTCCTGCCTGCAAACAGAGGATGCCCTCCTGTTACATCCCCCTCAGAGAGGCTGAGCAATGCAGGAGGGAAATCAGAGCTCACAGAGAGGACAGACCCACAGCAGGTCCTCTCCCTGCAAGGACAAGCAGCAAAGAGAGAAAAAGGAGACTACAGACAACTGTGGGCCCTGTCTGTCCTTCCAGCAAACAGCAGTGTTCAGCCCCAAAACACCCAAGCAGCCCTGGACACCCTCAGGTTTCAGAGCCCAGAGGAGCCACATCAACTAAGGACTTCAACTGGAATTCTTCTCATCTCATACAAACACCATTTTGCAGGCCTGCTTGTGGGTTTTCCTTTCACTTCACATACCTATCTGGGCTTGGGTGGACTAGGAAAAAGCTGTTCCCATTCCTGTATACACCCAGAGAGAGCCTGCTTCCTGCCTCTTGTTTTGAAAGGATCTGCCAGCTCCAGGGCTACCAGCTTTCTATTAGAAACCAGAGAGGGATGACTGAATCTAGCTGGCAGATACCCCATGAATGTGCTCAGAAACAGAAATGCTGGTAAAAACTTCTGGTAAGTGATTTCCAAGCAGAAGAAAAAGCCACACATAAATCCCAGAACTGAGGCAGATGGTGCCACACGACTCAGATGAAAAGTGCCCTGTCTCTTCTGGTTTAAAGTCCTCCCCACACACATACCTGCAATATTTGCTAAATAACCTATGCCAGCTTGTTGCAGGGTTGAATCTGAGGCTTAATAAAACAGTATTGTAGGTATAAGAACACCAGAAGCACGTGGGAGTTTTGTCTTTGTAGGAATATAGGACTGGAAAGGACACACAAGACACTAAACCGAGCCCCTTGCTGCCACAAGCAACTCCACTGTGCTATAAACTAAACAAACCCTATCCAAAAGCAGCAAGGTTTTTGCTTTCAACACTTGTTTTCAAACTCTTGTACATTCCTTGCTCGCTTTGCAAGGTTTTGGAGGCTGGAAAAGACACACTGCTCCAGCCATGGGGGACAGGCAGGGGACCCAACACTTCTCCTTATCTCCTGACTCTTCCCCTTCTGTGCTCACAGATGCACAGCACACTTCTGAGGTTTCAGGCAGATCTGAGTAAGCCCACGCTGCCAAGCAAACCCAGTGAAGACAGACTAAATTTAAAACCCCAGGCTTTAATTAAACATCATCAAATTTCAAATGAGAAATCATGCTGTTCTGTAATTCCAGGTTACGTTAAACGGCCTGAGACCATCCCAGATTGGAAGCCAGCACTGCACAGTAATTACTCTTCCAGAAATACAGCTTGCTTACCCACCCTATTTAGCTTCAATTCTGCTTTCCAAAGACAGAGAGGCACTTTTCCACACTGGAAATTTACAGCCTTCTTCCCTTGCAAATGTCATTGTTATTTTCCCCCCTTAGCAATCTTGTCTCTTCTTATTGGGAACTTTTTCAGCAATATATTCAATTTGACATGTTCCAGGGACAACCTTCTGCAGCCCAGATTTGCCCCACACACTGTGGGGTTGGGGAAGCCTTTGCATTTAAAAGGAAAACTGCCAAAGGGAAACATTTCCAACAGCACCAAAGTTTCAACATTTCAACTTGTCTAGGAACTGCTCCTCACCACCATGGAAACACAACTGATAATATGCTGAGGAATGACTTTACCACTTAGAGCTTGAAAAAAACATCCAAAAAGACATTTGTAGTGAAGGAGATAAAGACAGCATCTCATGCACATCACAGAATCATAGAATGGGTTGGAAGAGACCTTAAAGATCATCTAGTTCCAACCTCCCTGCATGGGCAGGGACACCTCCCACCAGCTCAGGTTGCTCCAAGCCCCATCCAACCTGCCCTTCAACACTGCCAGGGATGGGGCAGCCACAGCTTCCCTGGGCAACCTGGGCCAGGCTCTCACCACCCTCACACAAAAGGATTTCCTCCTAATGTCTAACCTCAATCTCCACTCTTCCAGTTCTAATTCATTATCCCTTGTGTAAAGCCCCTCCCCAGCTTCTCTGTAACTCCTTCAGGCACTGGGAGGCCACTATGAGGTCTCCCTGGAGCCTTCTCTTCTCCAGGTGAACAGCCCCAGCTCTCCCAGCCTGTCTCCAGAGCAGAGCTGCTCCAGCCCTCTGAGCATCTTCGTTGCCCTTCTCTGGACTTGCTCCAGGAGCTCCATGTCCTTACATCCATCAGAACAGCTCTATGGTTGTGCAAGTGTTTATCAGACATCAGAGAATGCACAGAAGAGTAAAGCCTGATGAAAGCCCAGCATTTATGTGCCACCTCCTTCAACAGCAGTACATTATTCCCCAGTAGAGAACCTACATGGAGTGATGCCTTGCAAGACTTCCTGGTGCCTGCTCAGGCTCAGACTCCACCTTTGTGATATTCCCCAACTGAGGATTCTGCATCTCCCCTCCTCTCCACAGATGCTTTGATGCTGAACATGAAGCTCATGGAGCTTTCTCTCTCTGAGAGCACTATCTGGTTTCCTCCCTGATAACTGGATGCCTGTCTTTGTGATACTTAAAGGAATTTAATACTTTATGCCTGCTTTGGCTCTGTCAAATCAGGGTGAAATCAGCCAACAGGTTAATATGTCACAGACAGGGCCTCAGACACACAGGAACTGCTGAAAACCCACCCAAAACTGCACCCACAGATACTCTCTCTTTATATATGGATGTGAGCCCTGTGATTGCAAAGCAACTTATTGAGTGAAATGCAGCCACAGGGAAAATTCCCTGTGAATTCAGCAGAGTCAGGATCTCACCCAATAACTGACTCAACTCTCCATTTCACAAGAAGTTCACTCTTTTTTTCTGCTCTGCTGCTTTTCCTTCCTGATCTCTGCATTGTCACAAGAGCAAATGCAACTTCTTTTGGGGCAAAACTTCCCCCCCCCTGCTGAGGCAAATATAAGGAGTAATTTCATCAAGTCAGTGGAGCTGCCCCAGAGTAAACTTGGTAGTTAAAAGAGAAGAATCAGTTCCCTGGCCTTGTATTACTGAGAAACATGATGAACAGGACAGGCTTTTCATGCCTTGCCAAGAAGTGCCTGTCCTGGAGTTTACTGCAATGCAAGTGAAACAGACCCCTGAAGAAAGCAAAAAAATGATTGTTTTATCTGGAGCTCTCTGAAAGAGGCAATTCTCTGCTTAAGGAGCAATGTGAAGCCTGAATCCTGCTTGTATCACTCTAAAAATACAGGGGGGAACACAAAGAGCATTGGAAACCAGGGAGTTTGCCTGGGTGCACAGAGAGAAAACTCAGTGCCCAGGGCCAATGGGAAGGAAAAGAATGGGGTTAGTCCACTATCTCCACCCACGGAGAAAGACAAGTGCATCTTTGTGTGTGCTTGATCACTACACAAGGCAAAGGATACTGTTGGAGTTTCTGCTTCTGGTTCATGGAGTTGCTGTGGGCGATGATCTTGGCGAGGCCGGAGATCCAGTGGTTGGCATCGTCCTCTGAGCTGGCAATGAGGTCCAGGTTTTTCCTCTGGTCTTTGAAAATGATGGAAAAGCAGCGATACTCCGGGACATCCTTGGCGTATTTTTCCATCCCTTCTGTTTTATGGCCTGACCTCACATCCCGAATATCTTCGATGGAGACTGTGGAGAGAAAAGCAGAGCCTGCTGTCAGCAGGGGCTCAGCCTTATCTCTCTGCTTGCTGAGGGGATATGAAGAAATTACACTTTCTCCTTTCCCTGCAGCCTCTGGAGGGTTCCCTTCCCCAAACGTTCAGAAAGTTGAAATCAAAAGGAGGAGAAGAGCAAGAAATTAAAATAACAACAAAAAAAAAACAACCCAACAAACAACCCACCAAAAAAAACCCCAACGAAACAAAAAACCTCCCCGTGTTTTTCATTCAGCAAAGAAGCAGAAGATGAACTAGATGCTGTGCTGTGATATCATTTTTTATGAGATATAAATCACTGCCAAGAATTTAATTCCAGTCCTTGGAACATCCCTGGATTGATCTCAACCCCTCTTTGAGAGTGGGGAGAGTGGATCTGTGCCTCCCTGTGAACATCCCAGGGAAATGAGAGGTGACTTCAGGAAGAGGAGGGCAGGGATCAAAACAGTCATTCCTTAGTTTGCAAGACAGTGAGAAGGTAAAAGTAACAATCACATATATTCTTCTCAGTCGCACTAGTGCAAATTAGACAAGCAAAGACAAACATTTCAGAGCAGTTTGGTGTCACCCAACCTCCATCCTCATCCCTGTCCAGGGTCGACTTGATCCTCTTTGCTGTAAGGAAGGAAATCACTTCCCTGTTTCCATCTCTGCCCCTCAGCAAGTGGAAACGAGCCCTGAAGTCAGATCAATTTTGCAAACTGCACACACAAGGCAAGCCAGAAAGAGTAGTGCATTCAAGAGGCTCCATTATTGAACAAATGTAGGTATCAGAGACACTCCCCCATCACCCCTGAGAGCATGCAAGTGCCCTCAAACTGTGCTGAGATCAGGCAAGCTCCCAGCAGCAGGCACAGCCTCAGTTTGTCTTTCATGGACCACTTAACACATCACAAAGGACTGAGAGGAAAGGGCATAAACTCCTAAACTACATTTGACTGATGCTACTTAATACCAGAGTAGGGATGGCACCGACCCACAATAAATGGCAGAAATGTTTGGAAACATCTGTTGGAGCCACAAACCCTAACTGAGAAAGTCTCATTGCATTTTCTTGGGTGAGAGACAGACCAGTTAACATTTTGCAAACATCTACCAACACCATCTCAGGGAACACCTAGAAAAAGCAACACACCTGAGAGATATTCATCTCCTGTAACAAGCATGCAAAAAAAAAAAAAATTAATAACAGGAATTTGGAAAGAAAATTGCTTAACTTCTCCTTACCTCAGATTTTAAATTACAGGCAAAAATTATTTCCTGTGTCACAGATGTGTGAGATCAACTTTATTTGTGCTTCTCCTGAAGGACCTTTATTGAAAAGCAGTATGTGAGTGTAAAATATCCCCAGCTGAATGGGAGAAACTTGGCTTTAATCACCCATTTCATCCACTCCTTCATTTAAACTGGTGAAATTTCACTATTAAAAGGCCCAGTTCATTCAAAGTCAACACTGTAGAAAAACACAACTTGGTATCCACCCTGCACATTTTTAGCATGGCTGCCCTGGTATCATCTAAAATTCATCAGGCACTCCTTAAGAGTTTGAAAACATTCCCTGTTTTTTTGGTTTTTTGTGGGTTTTTTTTCCCAGAACAGTCACGATGATGTTCAGATGCTGGGGGGAAAAAAACCCACCAAACAAAAAAACCCCAAACACAACAAAACCCACCACCCAAAACTTCAGTCTTCGGAAATCAGTGACTTTCCAAAATCAACATCTGACATTTGCTTTAAATTCCCACCACATGTTGGGGTGGTCAAACACCTTCCACAGCACTTTGCTGTTTTGGTTCCTATACAGGACCTCCCTGGAGCCAGCAAAGCTCCTCCCAGATAATTAGGAGCAATTATCTTTGTGTGGTCTTTTATTATCTCTTCATAAAGGTCAACAGTTGATCAGTTGGAGGGGAGGAGAAGCTTGGGTTGGGCTGCTGTGGAATTATGTTATCTGGCCAATTTACTATTGAGTGAAATTTTATTGTTTTGAACACTAAAATAATCCTTGAAATAAAAGGGCTGCAACTCCCTTGCTGCTGGGCAGCTAATGGAGAGCCTTGCTGGTGATTTTGCCTGTTAACTGGGACACTGGGCAAATTACAGTGATAGGTGCCTTAGGTAGATCTACACCCTTCATGTAAAGGATGCTGTCATGTTTGGATGGATCCAGTTCACTCAAAAAGTCTAAAGTTTAGGTAGGCTCCTTTTATAGTCAGTGAGAGGGGAAAAAAGAAGCTTGTGGAGCACAAATATTCTGTCCTATTTAGACAAAATCTTTAGAGTAAGATAAATAACACCCTTAACCCATGGCACAGTGGACCACTGACCAGGCTGAGCATCTCACAGTCAGATGTGTGCCATGCAGGTGGTCCATAAGTAGGTGATTCTCTTCCACTCCCAGTCTCCTCTGGTTATGGCAGTGCAAGTGGAAGGATCATCCTGTTGTTCCTCACCACCTGCCAAGTGCTCACCACTGCTTGGCTCATAAGAGTTATTGTCCCTTCAGAATGGCTAGCTAGTCTGCTTGTGCAATCAATCCCTAAACTTTGGGTTGGCAACAGCCTAGAGTTTCCAAGGCTAGAAAATCTGATGTTAAATACTGGAAATTTAGAATGGATTCTTTGGAAACTGTTATCTGGCAAAGTGAACCCGCTGGAAAAGGGCTGTGTGGGAGGAAAAAGATTGAAAACCTGTATCTGCCTTGATCTCTGTGGGGTATGCTGAGTAGGGGATGATAGAGGGCACAGAGCTCCTCTGTGCAGAAGAGGTACAAGGAGAACTGAAGAACAGATTGGTGCCCATTGTAGTCACACAAGAGACAAGGAGGTGAAGTATAATCACAGGAGCTCTTAAAGAAGTAGGGTAAGGGAGGACACTTTTTAAAGCTTTCCATGGCTTGGTTGTGTGTCCTGCTTTCATCTATCAATAAAAAACTTGAGCCAAAGGAGTCAGCCCAAGCCATCTGCAAATGTTATCTCTTTTCTGGAAAATCTTAACCCAGCATGAGTATAATATCAGCTGTTCCTGGGCAGTGAGAGTGCTGTGTTAGCAGTCCCAAAACAACTGTGGGCTCAGCTGAGCTCTCTGCAAGGAGAAATCAGAAATAACTGGGCGACACAGACGTTTCACAGCAGGGGAACACTTACAGCAAACACCCAGGAATCACATACACCTGCAACATCCCTGCTCCTTCCCCATCACACCACGGTGGGGAGGTAACCATGAGCAGAAGGGAATTTGGAAACTCTGCATCTCCTTCTCCTGGGTGTTTATGTCTGCTGAAGAGGTGGTTTGTGTAAAGCCCAAAACACAAGGAAACTTGTGTCCTTCCTGGCCTCAAGAAGTTGAGTCCCAACAGGTTATACCCCAGGCAGCCTCCCTGGCTGCTGCGGATGCTGCTCGGCCAGTGCCAATGGCTCCCTGCTCATGTGGACATACAGCAGCATTGCCTGGCGCCAGTGAAACTGAATTAGTCCCAGGGAGATATGAGGACTCTTTTGAATCATTTTTTATCACTGGGTACTGCCCTTGTGCTCCTCCCTTGCTGAGTCTCAGCCCTGTGCCCTCCTCCTCCACCCTCCACGGCGTTAGCAGCAGGTACAGGTCGGGCCCAGAGGATGCAGAAGGGCAGTTTTGAGAGCCATGAGGTTTTCAAACAACCTACAAGTATCTTTTGGGTCTTTCTTTCTAATTGGATTTCTCTCTTTGTGGCTTTCAAGGAGCTTCCTGTTAGCACAAGGAGTTCCTCTCACAGAGGAGCAAAAGCTGTGATTCACACGGATGTGCCTGTAACCAGACACACAGAGTCTGCAAGTACCCAGGTCCAAACCAATGACCCACAAAACCTTGCTGAGCAAGTGCAGAGCTTCACCTGAGCCTCTGCCTGACCCAAAAGCTCCCCTATGTCCCAAAAGTTAGTCTCTCCCCTCTACAGAAGGCTCCCCACTCCCCTCCAGCAGGACCTAAGCTCCATGAGGTGCCCCCAAACACACCTCAGTGGAAGGATTTCAGGCCTATGTGGAGAGGGGAGAACCATTTGTGTGAGAGCCGTTCCAGCAGGAAGCAGTAGAAGGACATAAATTCAATCTCCCCATCACCCTACAAACTGTAATCCCAGAGCTCCCGAGCTTCAAGAGTGCACCCGAACTACACGTATGTGCCATGAGCCATTGAGCAGCCAAAACCACAAGTGTTGAAGAGCCAGAAGGACAAGCCTGACAAGGTGCCTAATGATTTGAGCACTTGTCTGAGAGATGAGCTCTGGCCATTGGCCTCTTCATCCTGTTTCCCACCACTGATCCTCAGATGAAATGGCCAGACTGTGCAGAAAGCATGGGCAGTAAAACACGCTGGTAATTCCAAAGAATAGGATCAAGTCGACTGAGAGGTATTTAAAAGCCATGTAGATGTGGTGCTTAGGGCCATGGGTTAGTGGTGGACTTGGAACTGCTGGGTTAACAGTTGGACTTGATGATCACGAGGGTCTTTTGCAACCAAAATTATTCTATGATTCGATCATACAGGGAAAGGAAGAAGGGAGGTAGACAGCAGTAACTCTTTGCCTTCCTCCTGTTTGACAGGCAGCCCTTGGAGAGGAAATATTGTGTCTTACTAAAAAAAAAAAAAAACAGAGAGAACAAGGAACCACACCTGCATCTCCTGCAAACCACTGAGAATGTGTAAGACAGGAACCAAAAGGTGCTTCTCCTTCCCTGTGGCATTGCTAATAAAGAGGGAGAGGAGGGTCAATGTGTAGACACTTAGGGGCACTGCCAAAACTGCCAGCCTGCAGTTACTCATGAGGGCAGGTGGGCAGCTTTTGCAATCTGGGGGGGGGAAGACTCATCAGATCCTTCCCTTTCCTTATCCTACCTCCCTGTCATTAGCAAGTGATCTCTGCAATGTGACATTTGGTCACGTTGAGTTACTCCATCCCACTGTAATTGTCTCAATAAGTCACTCCTGTTTACTGTC